TCGCTGGCTCTTATCCAACTCTTTGGCCCACAAGGATCTGGCTTTGCCAGAACCATCCTCCTGTCTTTCTGAAGTGTGCTTTCCTTGTCTGCTCTTAAGTCAAGCTGGGAAGCCCACCTCCTCACGGCTAAGGAGAAGCACAGCATGATGCCCTGGAGAGGCTTCCGGGCAGAGCTCATGGTGCTCTAGAGTCGGCCAACTGCATGCATGGTGAGCCCTCACCTGGGGCACCCCCTGCTCAGATGAAAGGAGGAAGCTCCTGTGTCTGTTTGTGTCAAAAACTTTCTTTTTGAGTCACGGTGAAAGCAAAAGCCCAGATGTCTTACTTCTAGGAATTATCTACCATATATCTTCCCCCTGGAAATTCACTCCAGGAACTTTGGGCATTTTTTTTTTTTATGTAAAGATAAGAGATTAGAAGACCTCCAGTTTAACTACCAGCAGGACACAGCCATTTGCCTGTATGCATCCACACAGCAGAGAAACATAGAAGTATGAGGGTCAATGGGACTGAGGAGACTGCAGCCAAGATTCATTTTAGGTGAAAAAAAGCAGTGTGTATGTTTATTGAATGCTTCCCTTTTTTTTTTTTAAATATTTTATTTGTTTATTATTTATACAGTATTTGACCTGCATATATGCCTGCATGCCAGAAGAGGGCACCAGATCTCATCTTAGATGGTTATGAGCCACCATGTGGTTGCTAGGAATTGAACTCAGGACCTTTAGGAAGTATAGCCAATGTTCTTAACCTCTGAGCCATTTCTCCAGCTCCCATGCTTCCCTTCTTCTCTTTCCCTCCACTCCTTCCCTCTTTCCTTCCTCTCTCTTTCCTTCCCTTTCTTATCCCTCTTTCTTCTTCTCCTTTTAGGGTGTGTGTGTGTGTGTGTGTGTGTGTGTGTTTATACATGTGTGCACACGTGCATGTGGAGGCTACAATCCGTGTCAGGTGAATTCCTCAATCACACTTCATCTTATTTTTTCACAGGTAACTTTTAATTTTTAAATTATGTGTATATAGCCAAGCATGGTGGTGCATGCCTTTAGTCCCAGCACTTGGAAGGTAGAAGCAGTGGGTCTCTGTGAGTTTGAGGTTAGCCTGTTCTACACACAGAGAAACCTTCTTTTGGGGAAAAAGAAAAAAGAAAAGAAACCTAAATTACGTGCCTAGGTAGCGGGTCTCTGTGTGCGTATGCGCATATGAGTGTCATGCCCAGAAAGGACGGGAGAGGGCGTGCTCTCTTGGACCTGGAGTTACCGGTGATTTGCAGCCACCCTATGTGAATGCTGAGAACTGAACCCAGATCCTTGCCAGAGAGTATGCACTTTGAACAGCTGAGCCATCATCTTTGAGTCCTCACCTTATTTTTTGAGACAAGCTCTGACACTGAACCTGGAGTTTATGGATTTCAATAGACTGCACCAGTCAACTGGCCAGCTAACCAGCCCCCAAGGTGCCTCCTCTGTCCACTTCCCCAGCCGCTGTAGCTGGCTTTTTATGTATGTATTGGGGATCTGAACTTGGGTCCTTACATCTGTACAGAAAGCACTTTGCTAAGTTATCTGCCAGCCCCCTCCTCCTGCCTCTCTGTAGTCTTCTCTGATGCCCAGAGTGATCCTTAACTCCCAGGCTTCAAGAAATCCTCCTGCCTCAGCCTCCTGCCTCACCCACCTGGGAAGACAGGTGCCTGCCACCAGGTTCTCCTTATTGGTTTTGGTGTTGCTGTTATTGTTTGTTTAGACAGGATAGCCCTTGCTGTCCTAGAATCTCTCTATGTGGAGCAGGCTGGCCTCAAACTCACAGAGATCCTCCTGCTTGTGCCTCTTGAGTAAAGACGTACAACCCCCCCCCCTCGATTTATGTTTTTAATAAATAAAAAATTAACTTAGAACTGGTAATGGTGGCACATGACTATAGCTCCGAAGGCAGTCTGCATACTGACTTCTAGGCCAGCTGGGGCTATGGAGTGGGGCCCTTTCTCCAAAACAAACAAACAAACAAACAAACTTTTTTTTTCTTTTTTCAAAACAGGGTTTCTCTTGTGTAGCCTTGGCTGTCCTGGACTTGCTTTGTAGCCTGTAGTTCCAGGCTGGCCTCGAACTCACAGAGATCCAACTCCTGCCTCTGCTTCCCTGACTGCTGGGATTACAGGCATGCGCCACTGCACCTGACTACAAACATTAATTGAAACAAAAGAAAAGGGAGGTTGGGACAAGAGGATTGACTACCCCTACCCCTATCCCTACAGACAAGAGGAGAGTCTGTACCTTGCAAGGTACAAGGTGAGACACCGTGGCCACAGGGAGGAGAGAAGAGCAGCCCCTTCGTTAGAGCTCCTCTAGCACTCTCATGCCCGGGGGCTTCACCACCTACTGCCCAAGAACTCTGCTTCCTTCCCTTGAAAGCTCACACCCACGCTCTGTGTCCTGACTGGACACTGGCGCTCCTTTAGCTCCCTCCTGCCTCTCCTCCCGTCAGGGAGGCCAAGAGCCCTGGTTGTACAGGCTGCCAGGCTGCAGGTGTGCCCAGGGCGGAGGGGAGGGGCCCAGCAAGCTCACTAGGGGCCTGCCAAGTCTCTGGGGACCCAGGTGTTCTCCAAGGGAGACCCCCAGGTCCGCCCAGAGAGGGCCCTGGGCACTAAGGGGCCCTGTAAGAAAGCCCCACAATGCTCTTATGATAGGACTTTCACATGCAAAAATAATTCTTGGGCTGGTGATTTGGCTCAGAGGGGAAAGGTGCTTGATGACCAGAGACTAATTCCCAGAGTTGCATTGTTCCACTTTATAAACAAACAAACGAGTAAGTAAACAAAAAAATTTTTTAAAGAAATACTTCTTGGCTAAGGCAGGAGGGTCACATAAGTTCAGAAGTTTGAGATTAGCTTGGACAATATAATTAGATTCTCTTTCTCTCTCTCTCTCATGCCCTTGAACACACAAACACCTTTTTTTGTTGTTGTTGTGGGCCTAGGTGCCACACACCTGTAATCCATTCAGGAGGTAGAGGCAGGAGAAAGGCTGCAAGCTAAAGACCGGGCTGGCCTAACAGCAAGACCAAAACAGAGACATAAAACAACTCTTTGGGTTTTGTTGTTGTCATTTTCTTGGTTTTGTTCCTTTGCTTGTTTTCTATATAGGGTCTCATTATGTAGCCCAGGCTATCTTCAAACTCTTGATCCTCCTGCCCCAGCATGCCGAGTGCTTGGGACTATTGGGGTGGGTCACCAAGTCCAATGAGACACAGGTTCAACGGTCAAGGGTATGGTTAGATGAGCGCCGCAGCTGTGCCCAGCCTCGTCCCCCCACTGTTAGCAACTTCACCTCGCCATTTCGGCCTCGTTTCATCTTCTGGAGACATATTTGCACGTTCCCATATGCATCTCCCAAACTTACATACCTTACACATGTATTCATGTCTGTAAATGCACACACACAATAGTCTACACATGTCACTCTGTGTACACATGTATGCATTCAACACCACAGCCAAAAGTGTCACGTAAACATATTACATTTACCACAGTGTATTTCCCCCTCAACTCTGAAATCATGATTCTCACTCCTCAGCGCGCCTCTTTTAGGAATGACACTACCTCCCTCTAACACACCTCGACGAATATATAATCTGCTCTAAGGCACGATAGCATCTAATACTGGTCTGTATTCAGATTTCTCTGATTATTTCTAAAAGGTCTTTGCTTTTGTTTGGTTTTCTTTTATTCTTTCAGGCAGAATCTAAATCTAACCCAGGCTGGCCTCAAACTCATGGTGATCCTTCTCTCTCACACTCCCGGATGTTGAGATGATGTCACGGTGCCTGGCTCTGAAGGTCTTTGAGAAGAGTCATTATCAGGCATTGGTATTTTTCTTCTGCCATGTCTGAGGCAGGCTAAGAGCTTCCAGGGATCCTCCTGTCTCCACTTCTCACCTCCTCAGGGAACACAGCTCAACAGGTTGAATACTGAGAAAGAGAAGAGATCAGAGCTCAGGAGGAAGTCTCTTGCTGGGTCATGGTCCGGGTTACGTAGAGAGCGAGAAGTCCTGAGGAGGAGGGCTTACCAAAGAAGTGACATTTCAAACAGTTCTCGCTGTGTGAGTAGGTGTTTCTGTAGTAGAGAAGCAGAAAGTGGAAATATAGTCGGGGTCAGGCCACAGACCTCTGACTGTGGAGAATATTTTCAGAAAGGAGGCCCAGAAGGCCCTGGGTTTGACCCTTAGGTGTATGGAGACCCTCAGCATGGTTTTCAAATAGGGGAGGGCCATGTTGCGCTTTGAGTCTGCGCACACGCTCCGGCTGCAGCGTGCAGAGGGGAATCTGCTGGTGTCCATGCAGGAAGTGAAGCTGGACTGGACCGCAGACAAGGGGTTGTATCCAAGGCAAGCAGAACCCCAAAGCAAGTATAATCAGTGGGACAGCAAGAGAGGGAGATGAAGGGTGTGAGGAAAGACTGAGATGGTGCAGATTCTGTGCAAGCTGAGGCGCAGCCTGCTCTGAGCCGGGGGAGGCTGTCTTCTGAAAGAGCCTAGACAACCCTGACGTAAAGAGTTCATGGGGCTCCATCCTTGAAATGAGACTCTGATGCCCGGCCTTGACATATGAAGGAGGCCTCATCTCCAGGCAATTGTTTGCCCTTGTCTGCTGTCCACGTGCCAGCAGTCACTGAGGTGAGCAGTGGCTTCCCCATGGCCACCAGAAGCTCCTCCCAAGACCCCCAGAGGCATGGCTGAGGTCATACAGCAAACAGCCTGTGGAGAGCACCGCTATGGGGACTTTACGAGTCTCTCGGGAGAGCCACAGTTTGGGAGAGCGGCAGTCCCCGCTGAGTAGTTCCCCGCCTTTGGATGGTCCCGTGGGGGGAAGTGGGACTTCTTCTTTCAGGACAGGAATGTCAGGCTTGGCGGTGACTAAGAGATGTCTGAGCTGGTGGGTGGAGAGAGTGCTTAAGTATCCGGCCTTCCTGTGCTCTGGCCATTAGACACCTGGCTAGGACGGATACAGCATGACCAGCCTGCAAGCCCCACTCCTCGTGGCTCTCCTACTTCTTGCTGTGGCACTTGAGACAGCTGATGCGGGTGAGGCTGGGGAATGGGAGGGTGGACGCTAGAGGGCCTGGAAAGAGTCCCAGAGTGAGTCTGCCATTGGGCTAGCTCTGGCACTTCCTCGGGCTGGTGCTATTACTTTTCAGAGTCCAGGTACACCCGTTTATAAATTGGGTAGTCAGGTAGTCAGGAAGGCTTGGCTTCTTGCATCTGGCTCATTGGTTTGGGGGTTGTCTTTTGTAAGGCTGCTCAGACAGCTCAAATACAGGGGGCCCTGGGAGTGGACGCCTATAAGGTATCAGGCTTGAGTTGGGGAAGGTAAGACCTCTCTTAGAAAGCTGGCCTGCCCTCCCAACAGCCAAGGTTTGCTTCGGAGCCTGTGGTTGAGACAGGGATCAGACCCCTCTTTGCCATCGCACTTCCAACAGTTCTGCTTTGGACTGGGCAGAAGAAGGGTCTCCGCAGTTGGGCTATCAATTCTCTGAGAGCCCCCAGGTAGCAAAGCCCTACGGAATTGGTACTCTTCAATGGACCTTAAAGATGACAGATGACTAGGGTCCATCAGGGGCAGAGTGAGACTTGAACCAGGTCTGTGTTGTTACTGTCCTGTCTGAGCCTTGATTCTGACTCTGCCACAGGCTCACCATAACCTTGGATGCTTGCCCTCCCCTCTCTGGTGCAGCGTCACCAGGGCACTGGGAAGAGGAAGGTGTATCCCTAATTTTTGGTCACACAAAGTGGGGGTGGGGGGGACGTCTGGAGTAGGGCCGAACATCCATCCGAAAAGCTCCTGGGAAGCTGGTGCCGTCATCCACAGACTGACCTTAGGTGAGCATGGAGGCTCTTCTGGCTCAGAGGTGCAGGACCCATTTAGAAGCCTGTTGATGCTCAGTCATTCTGCGTTCACTTCCTGAGCTGACTGTCCCCGAGTGTAGACACTGGGTCCTTAGTAGCCTCTCAGAGACTCCCCAGGTAGGGCTGAAGGAGGCCTAGAAGATATCCATCGGTGTGGAAGAGAATCTTTTCCCTATAGGTCAGCCCATAATTAGGGCTGGGGCTGAGGCTGGCCTCTCCATGCTCCAGCTAAATGTCCTCTGGGTACCCCTCCACCAGGTCCCTATGGTGCTAATGTGGAAGACAGCACCTGCTGCCAGGACTACATCCGTCACCCTCTGCCACCACGTGTCGTGAAGGATTTCTACTGGACCTCAAAGTCCTGCCGCAAGCCTGGCGTTGTGTGAGTAGAGAGCCAGTTCTCTGCTGTCTTTGAGGGTGGGTCTGACAGGGGTGGCCCAAGAATAGGCAGGATGCATTGAGATTCAATGCAAGAAGGCTTGGCTGAATGTGTTGGCTCAGCCAGGCTTGGGTTTTCTGAATCACAAAATGATGGTATCATTCAGGAGATGTTGTTGAACATCTGTGACATGACAGACCTGAGGATGGCAGCTGAATAAATGGATGCCACCCCAGCATGGCTTGGACACGTGGGCAGCACTTAGCCACAGACTATTGATGATGAGAAGTAGTGTAAGTATAGGAATACAAATGACATGCCAAAAGCCATCTCCTGCCAAGACATTCTGGGTCCTCCCAGTCCCCCGGAATTCTTTGAGGTAGCCATTTTGTTTAGAGACACACTATTAAGAGCTGACACCTATGAATGGCTGACCATGTGCCCAGGCGATTCTGAGCACTACCTGTGTCACTCATTCAGTCTTTGAAGCAATTCTACAAGGAGGTTAACCCCATTTCATAGGTGAGAGTCCCAGGCTCAGCAAAGGGAAGAGGACCCAGGCTTAGTAAAAGGAAGGGAATGTAGGCCTAGCAAGGTGAAGAGGATCCAGGCACAGCAAAGAAAAAGGGATCAGGTTCAGGAGAGGGAAGAGGAATCAGGTCTAGTAAAGAGAAGGAAACCTAGGCTCAGCAAAGGGAATGGAAAGCAGGCTGAAAAGAAAAGCAGGGAGCAAGATTCCCCAGCCTGGAGGAGGAGCACCTGTGTCCCTGGGTGGCGTTTTCTCTTGTGATTCTTCCCTCTTTGCCCAGCTCCTTCCATGTGACTGGAAGACTCCTTTTTCTGTGGTAGACCCCTGTCGGCTTCTTCTCCCTTAGCGCCTGCCACTAACCACATGATCTATTGGATGGTTCTTGGGTTTGGGGTAATACACCACCCCTTGGGCTTTCTAATCACTCCCTCTTCCCACACCCTACTTCATCTCTTAGAAGTATCTGCAAAGAAGGGCAGAGCAGGAGCCCTCCCAAGGTTCTGGCCCCTTGAGCTCTGAGACTGTCTCCCATCAGTTCAATAGAGCCATAGCCCATTGTTTCCCAAGTGCAGAAAGATTATTTATATGCTGAGCATAAGGCATGGGGCGCTTTAGCTAGAAACAACCTCGTGCAACAATTGCAGTTGGTCTGAATCCCTTGCACATGAGCTTAAGGGTCTCTTCAGCATCACAGGGCAGCTAGGGCAAGTGGAAGTCACAGAGCTCACAGCCTGTGACACAGGAGATGCTCAGTGAAGGACAGACCAGTGATCCATGGACACTGAGACCGAAGAGAATCTAGAAAGAATATGGCTTGACAGAGAGGGAGACAGACACACAGGGAGGGAGCAGCCTTGCGTAAGCTGCCGGGGAGGCCACGCTCAGGCTGGGTGTGGTGGCCCACGTCTTTAATCCCAGCGCTCGGGAGGCAGAGGCAGAGTTCAAGGCCAGCCTGGTCTACATAGTGAGTTCCAGGACAGCCAGGACTACATGATGAGACCTGTCCCAAACACAAACAAAAACACCAGGTTCGGTGTTGTCCTTGGGCTCTGCTCACTAATGGTCTGTGATGCAGTGACAGGTCAGGGATGTGGGGAGCCAGCAGCTCTCAGCTGTATGGCTGGACTCTCAGGAAGCAGCTATGGAACGGCAGCAGGGACCCCCCCTCACCAGCCAGCCTATACCCACTTTGCCAACCACAGCTTTAGAGCCCAGGCCTGGCCTGGTACTTGCTGCAGTTGTGCCAGGCAGGAGCCCTGGGCCATACTTGTTGGGTGGCTTAGTTTCTTTTCTAACTTCTGTGGTGAAATACTCAGAGAAGAATGGCTTGGGAGATAAAGGGTGTGTTTTAGCCTGAAGTCTGAGGTGCAGGCCAGCAAGGCAGGGAAGTCAATGCAGCTGGTCACATCTTGTCCACACTCGGGAAACAGGGACGAGTGTGTATGCTCAGCTTGCTTTTTCCACTTTATACACCCGGGATCTAGTGCCCAGGGACTAGCCCCACCCACAAGTAAGATGGGTCTTCTCACATCACTTAAAATAAGATAATCCCCACAGGCGTGCCCAGAGCTCTCCCAAGTGATCTTAGACACTGTCAATTGACAGTGAAGTCTATCATCACAACATGATATCCTATTTCTCCACCAGATGCTCTAGGACTCTCAAAGAGGCCTGGAAGGGATGTTCTTCAAAGTCACAACCCAGCTCCCACCTCAGACATATTTTATTCCTTCTTATATTCAGCCAAATTTCTTTACATTGGTGGGTAGACTAAGTGTACGGGAATGGGGAGCACAGTAGCATGGGGCAGGGAGCACGGGACACATAGAATTGTTGCAAGAATTAAAGAAACCATTGTGTAGGGTAGATGGATAAATGGCTCAGTCAGTAAAAGTGCTTGCTGAGCAAGCATAAGGACCCAAGTTTGGATCCTCAGCACTCGTGCAAAAAAAGCCAGATGTGGCAGCATGTGCCTGTAATCCCCGGTGCTGGGAAGGCAGACAGGAAGATCGCTGAGCCTTGCTGGCCAGCCAGTCTAGCTGAATTGGAGAGATCCAAGTTCAGTGGACTGTATTTAAAAATAAGATGAATAGCAAGGGAGGGAGACACTCTATGCTGACCTCAAGTCTCTACAGGCATGTGCACATCCATCACACACACACACACACACACACACACACACACACACACGAAGAAACAAATACTAATGAAAAAGTTGAGGCCATCTTCTGTAGCACCTACCACGTGTGTGCTGTAGCTCTTAGTAGCACCTGATTTCTCGAGCAAGTCAGTACGTATCCTGATGGCTTCATCAAAATCTCATGCAGCTGGGAAGTACTGTCGCCCCCTTCCAACAGATGTAGAAACCAGGCCTTAGAGAAGTTGCCCCTGATTTTCTAGCAAAGAGCAAAACTAAAATCCAATCCAGAGAGGTTGGAGGCAAGGTCCATACTTTTGGCTGCTAGCTTGCTAAATGCTACCACTTACTCCTTGGCATCTCTTGCAGTTTGGTAACCATCAAGGACCGTGATATCTGTGCTGACCCCAGGCTGTCCTGGGTGAGGAGGATTCTCCGTAAGCTGGCCTACTGAGGACCTGATGACCACCGATGTGATCACTCCAGGAAGCCCCAGCAAGCCCTGTCCTTCTGCCATTCCAGCAAGGGGCTTGCCATCAGCGCCATCTTTGCTTGCCTTCTTCCCCTGGGCTATCACCTGTTAAGCCACTTCTCTGCAGCCCCTCTAGCCCATCCCCTTCCAACATGGCAGCTGGGGGAGCACCTTCTGGCCAGCCTTACCCAGTATTCCCTCCCCATTGCTTTAGATGAGATCAGGGCTCTTGTTTTGGTGAGCTGGCCCTGAAGATCCGGATGCATTCCCTGTCCCCAGCCTTGGTCCCTTCCCTTCCTACATGTGGGAAAGACCTATATGCTTCAAGGATGCACTACCTAGTTCTGCTTCCTGGGAGGCTGCTGATACCCAGAATGCTATTCCTGCCACTTGCACTTGTCCAGTGCCACTCACCTCCCAGACTTCAATCAGTCCCAGTGGGCACTGGGTGGGTACCAAGCCTCATCCTTCAGACTTTCTTGGCCTCTGCCTACTCTCAGTAGAATTCTGGGAGTTTCAGGCTGGTCCACTAGGCCCCTGGGGTCAGACCAGCCTTCCCACCAGAGCTCTTCTTGTTTCTTGCTCTCTAGTGTAGGGCAGGGAACACAGGGGGACAGAGTAGGGAGCACAGAGGCAGGCTCAGAATCAGATTTCTGAAAGGAGCTGCAGACTCCATTAGTAAAAGTAATGTTTCCCCCATCCCTGGATACAGGGTAGCTTCCTGTCAACACGGAGACTCAGGTTGTTAGAGAGAAGCAATGTAGGTCAACTGTGAAACCCTAAATTTACCAGGAATCAACTTCTATCCCTCTTTAACCATATGTTAGATCTTTTACTTTTTCTGCTCCACTCTAATTCTCCTGATTCCTTGCCTGAATAGCTGATAATGAAATTTATGCTATGGTGTCAATGACTGCCATGGGTTGGTATTATAAGCTGTAGTTATATTTATGTAGGAAAAGAGGATAAATATATAGGAGGCCAAATCGATGAATTGGAGAGTTTTAGGAACTGGGGTAGGGAGGGCCACACAGAGTGACACTTTCTTGTTCTCAGAAAGCAGCTGACTGTGGTAACTGCAGTGGATGGCACAGTTAAAGAGCTTGACTGAAAATTAGTCTTGAGTGGTTGGGGCCCTGCCAAGAATTTTGGAGTCATTTGTGCTTTCCTGGAGAAAGCAATGTCCTGGGGAGGGAATACACCTGCTTGCTCCTCTGGAGGGAATGTAGCCTGGCTTAGCAGAGTGACTGGATTGTGACCTGAGGACATTGCTTTTCCTCTCTGAGCCTCAGATGACAGAAGATGGGACCACGGAGGACTCAGTCCAAACCACAGGAACTGACACTGCCAACCACAGCTGTGTCCAGGGTTCATGTTCCTCCAGAGCCCAGGAGGAGTATCTGGCCAATGAGAGGCACTAGCCAGCCAGTGCCGCTCTGCCCACACCTATGCATAGAGTCCCAAGGTCCTGAGATCCGCCACCTTTCCTACTTCTGGGAAAATAAATGTTTACCAACAGTGTCTGCCTTGGTTCCTTGTCATCAGGGCCTGTGCCACTTACTGGAGAAGGGTTGACATTTGAATATAAAGTGTATAAGGTCACCCCATGAGGGGCAACAAGGCTTGGGGGGACAGCTATACAAATACCAACAGAAAAGCCAGGAATTCATCCCCAAGCTCCTCTCCACCTGGGCTGGCCATGCGTAAGATCACTTCCCCCCCCCCCCCAGGTCCAGAGCTATAGACTGCTCATCCAATAGAAGAGTTCTTTTCTCATATAAGTGCATCCAACATTCTGATCCATGGACAGCCTCCAAAGTGGATATCCAGGGACCTAGGACCTTCTCCAGGTTCTGCATTCCTTCAGGATCTGAATCCCTCCATGGAAGAGAAGGGAGGTTTGTGGGATGATGAGAGAGGGTGTGCCCCCATTGTGAGATGGGCCATCGGTGTCTTTCCTTAATTGCTGAGGGAAATTTTATAACTTCTTTCTTCTATCCTTGACTCTAAAGCCAGAACCATGTGGAAGAAGCTGCCAAGCTCTGCTGCTTGCTGGAGCTGGAACATGGCCTCCCCTTTCAAATATGTTTTCACCAGCTTTCTGTTTTGATGGTTTCCTTCATTGCCTAAGCTTGGCTTGTCCTGAAACTCTCTCTCTCCCCCTCCCTCTCTCTGTAGACCAGGCTGGTCTCAAACTCGGAGATCTGCTTGCCTCTGCCTCCAGAGTGCAGGTATTAAAAGTGTGCCCCACCACCCCTGGCTCTAAGGTTTTCTTTTAATTCCTTTTCACAAGTTGGAAGCTTAGCTGGGTGGCATCTTGCTGTGAGGTCACCATTCCCTTTATTTCATTTAGCATCAGGCTTTTCTTTAATCTGTTTATCTCCTTGAACACAGGACCTAGCTCCATTCCACTTACTGATGCCCCCTTTCTCCTCAAACTCTACATTCTGTGTTTTTCCTTGCTCAGCTTGCTCCTTGTCATTATAGATCTGCATAAGAGTGAACACCAATAACCACAGGACATAATAATAGGTTGTTTTGAGATTTCGTCTGTCAGTTGAATTAATCAAAACTCTTCAGTTTAGCCTCAGGCAGATTTTTCTAGACAAGGGCAGAAAGCAGCCACATTCTTAGCTAAAATATCACAAGAACAGTCTCTAGGCCACATACAAACATTCTTCTCTGAAACTTCTTGAGCCATACCCCCACAAATCACCCTTAACACCACTGTCTCCCATGTTTCCTACTAGTATGGCCCACTAATCCTCACTTAAAGCATTCAACTGTTTTTATAATCCAAAGTCCACATCCCTCCAAACAAAAGTGTGGTCAGGCCTATCATGGAGTCAGCTAGAGGGGTGGCTGAGAGAGGGGTGGCTGAGAGCTCTACATCTGGATCCACAGGCAGCAAGAGAGAGTGACCCTGAGCCTGGCATGAGCACTTGAAACCTCAAAGCCCACCCCCAGTGACACACTTCCTCCAGCAAGGCCACATCCACTCCAACAAGGCCACACCTCCTAATAGTGTCACTCCCTTTGAGTCTGTGGGAGCCATTTTCATTCAATCCACCATACACACATATCTCACACTGCCCAGACAATAAAGAAGAGTACTTTACACTCAGTGTCTTCATGATTTCTTGAGTGTAAGCATAAATCATAGGCATCCCGAAGTGGTAGGCGTGAGCATGGCAAACACAGCTCTGGCAGGTCTTGCCTTCCCCCATTCCCTCTTCCTTACGAAACTGTTCCTAAAACTAGCCACCAAGGTCGTTTTCATATTTGGCCACTTTATCTTTCTGAGAATGGACACCAAGGTCCAGCTACCAAAGTAGTGAAGTCCAGCAATGTTGGCCTTCCTATTAACATGCCCAATCAAAACAAAACAACTCATTCTAACATGAGGTTTTCCTGCTTCCCTTTACAAACTGCCATTTGCCCACAGGCCACGTCTGTCTCTATCCAGAAGCATGCTTTGTCCCTCCAGGGCAAATATCACTTCCATCCCTTGGCCCTGTTTCTTTTCCCTTCTCCATCATCCTCTATCTTCTGTCTTGGTGTCTCATTCCCTGCCACTTGTCCCTTTGGAACAAATAAATCTCCTTTGTGCTGAGAATTTTGTGTGTCCTGTGCTGACTCCGGATCTTTCACCCTTTTCCATCCTGTCAACCCTTGTTCCCTTCATCCCTGCTTCCCTGGACTCTTAGGCAGTAGCTTTGGATTCCGAGCACTGGCCAGGATGAATCACCTGGAAGAGGTGCACATCAAGAATTCTGGCAGGTGCCAGGCATCTGTAGATGTACCAAGGTGCTCTGTCCCCTGAGGCTCAGGTCTCCCTGTGGGCAAGTAGGGAAATAGTACAAGAAGATCCAGGCCACCAACCTGATAGCAGCGACAGGAGTGGAGACACAGCTCCACACTGGTGCCCACAGCAGCCTTAAAAGTTCTTTTCAGAGGCCTCCTCTCAGGTGAAACTCGATCCTTGCCTTTGGCATAGAAAAGAATTTCAGGACAAGCCAGTGTGAAGCCGACTTGGAGTTTACTCAGAGGCATTTAATAGATTGAGAAGCATGGGTTAATACAGAGGAGCTCAGGAGGAAAGAGGAAACCCAGCCACATGGGTTGGGGGCTCCTCAGAGACAGCCTTGTCGAGTTGCCTTTTCAGTATCTACCAGCCTGATGAATTTTGAGGCTTTATCTGCAAAGGGTTGCTAAGGAACCCAGATGGGATCCTGAGATGGTTTCTGAGGAGCAGGACCACAACAGATAGGTCTCCATCACTGTGAACAAAATTTGAGACTTCCAGATAATGTCTAGGAGGGGAATAGACCCTTCTCCAGGTCATAGACACTCATGCTTGTCCTTTGTTAACATACAATGTCTGTTAGAAAGAAATGGTGTTTCTATGTTGACTCCTCAAACCAGTGCTGTTAATTGTACCGGCAAGAGGCTTCAACTAGACACTAGGGTGAGGGACTCTTTCCCTTCCCATGTCCTCTCATGATCTTCCCTGTCTCTGCTTTAAAGGACTTGAGATCTTTCTCCAAATAAGATAACCAGGTGGACAAGAAAACACTGAAAATTATGATTACCATCACCACCACTCATTGGAGAAATGGGAACAAAACCCACAGAAAATACAACAGAAAACCTAAAACATAACAAGTGTTGGCAATAATGTGGAGAAATTTGAACTCCTGGGCACAGGTGTTTAGAGTACCGAGTGTTGCATCTGCTGTTGAAAACACTCACTTTTTGCTGTTCTTCCAAAATTGAGTGATGGAATCATGTGACCCCATAGTTTTGCCTGTGGGTAATATGCATACATACAAATAAATTGAGAGCCATGTAGGCTTAGATTTTCCAGACACCTACTTTATTTAAGGTTCTTAAATGCCTCTACTTCTTTTTCAACCCTAGGTAGGAGATTAGTAGGGAAGGGGCTGTAAACCTCTTTTAGCTACTTCCTGCTGATTAGGGTCATTG